TTGCATATTGCATACTATTTCCACTTGGAACTCTTGGGTTTTAACTTCCCTTACCACCTATAAAATTTACCACTTTGTTATTCTTTCAGTTATTCACTAATTTATTGGGAGGTTGCATATTGCAGGGCATGGAAGGTCTGATGTAGTAACTTCTACCACAGACTCTGGGGTCACAATATACGCAGCTAATCAAAGTTCTCTCTCGCTTCTACTTACTTTTCAGGTAAGAAATTTATTCCTTCAACAAATACTTTTCTTTTTTATTTGAAAACATCTATTTATGAATGCCTTTAACTTGTTAAACTTCTGCACCTTGTGAAATAAATAAGGTTCTCAAGAGGCTATCTTTTCAACAAATCCTTGGTTTAAATCTGGTTGAAAGCATAACACAGAATCAACAGGAAAAAAATCTTGACCTAACACTAGGGTCTTTTCATTCGGCAAGGTGAAATCCTTTGACCTAGATTCTGTCTGTGAAAGGCAAGTATCAAGTGCCTTGAAATTACTTACAGACCTGTAGATGATTCTAAGAAAATTAGTTAAATGTTGATATAAAAAATTGAATTTATTGACCACATTTATTTGATTATCCTGGTCTGCCAGACAGAAAGTCCTCACTTTTATCCACCTTCATTGTTACTTCAGAGCAGCTCTCTCCATAGCAACTGAAAACTTCTCTGGGCTGAAATAATCCTCTCTGGCTCTACCCAGTGCACAGTCAAGGAATTTTAAAAACAGAGTACTTTGAAACTGCGAAATACTCTCCGAGATTTGAAAGGCTGCAGAGCTCCAGATAAATAATCATTTATCTTTCTTCTGAAGGTAAGCATGGGGTTTAGAAATGTTTGTAACATCCTCTATCATTTTTTAAAAATGCTAACATAGAATCTTAAACTCTATATATTTTTTTCAACCCATGAAAGTAATCCCAGTATCATTGTTACTATTGTGCAGTCATCTAGCTCATCTCTGGGCCAGGATCTGACATGAGATGCTGTTAACATTTTGCATTCCTTAAGCAATCAGTGGAAGAGATTATTTCTTTTTTCCAGAAAGTTCATTGGCTCCAAAGTCATCCCCATCCCATTAGTGAGCACTGAGTGAGTGGATTTATCACAGCTCCTCAGGTTTTGAAATTCTCTTGTTTTTCTAAGATACGTCATACTCTAGAATCTTGATTCTTAATAAACTAAAAAATGACCAGTGTTTCCTGAACATTGCTATTTTCTTTCAGTACTTTTCCTTGTCTAAAACCTTTTAACTCAACATTATATTGGTAATTTATTATAATTTATTTTCTCTTTACTTTAGTGATGAGGACCACAAATCACTTGGAGTTCTTTATGATGGGATAAAATGAAGGTGTTGCCCATTCTGGGTCCTATAATCTGTACCACCTGCAGATAAATGGAGAAACTTATTCTTCCTAATTTTTGACTCTGTTTGTTCAGGAAGAAGCAATCAAAGAGGCTTTTGGGCTGTTTTTCTGCAGTTTGAAAGTCTACAGCCATGTTAGTTTCCTGCTGTTTGGGGTTATAAATTACCTACAGACCCCCTGTTGTTTAGAAACAGCTTGTCATTGCAAATCAGCTTAGCCACCCAATTAATGAATCCTTTCAAACATTGCAGTCACAATAATTGAAGCCTTTATTTTCCCTTTTTACTACAGAAATTCCTCTGATTACAAGTTTATTCCTTGAACAGCAATCCACCCATCTCTATTCAAGACAAACTCAAGGTAAAGAAAGAGTGGAAATGTGCTTTTGGATCAAGTTTTCAGTATTTTGGTTGCTGTTGTTCCTTCTACTCAGCCTTGCTCCTTCTACTGAGACAGACAAACCGTCAACACAGGCCAGCAGTGACACTGGGAGTCCGGGCCAACTGGCAGAAGTACTACAGGCTCTCTCCACAAGTGACCACCCACCTCTCAACCAGTCAAGAAGCCTCGTCAAAATATTGTTGGAGAAAACTGGGTGCCCACAGAGGACAAACAGCCTGCAAGGCAATTGCAATCTGGTTAGTGAAAGAGAATGGGATCAGGTACTAGGGATGAGGACAACAATGGATTCTATAGTCATTTACTCAGTAAAGCAAAATCAAATGCAAAGCTTCCGATGTCCAACTGGGCAATGCCTTGTGGTAAAATAACTTCCATATTTGGGAAACAACAAATCATTCTGCTTATAGCACTTAAGGACAGGGAAATAATTTTTTTCTTTGAAAGAGTAATGCATATGTAAGCCTTTCTGGAACCCTTGTGCATGTCTAGAGGTATTTCTTTGTGATGTTGAACTTTTAGCCTTCTCTTCTTTCTGACTTACTAATCCTTTTTTGAGCCTGCAGTGAACTTGTACATGATAGAAGCTATTTGTTTTCTGTAGCATAATCATAGCAATCTGATGTTTGTCTAGTGTTGAATTTTAGAGTACTTTCTCCTGGATATCAACTAGTGTTTTCTAATATTTTGCATGGTAGGTAGTTAATAATTGGATCGACAATGAGGAATTTGAGCTGGGGAAGAGAAATGCTGCAGGTGGAGCTGAAATTAGACCCATTGCTCTTGAGGCCCGAATCATGGCCTTATCCTATTCTACCCAGTGAGTCTCAGCCCTGGCTGCACTTCAGAATCATCTGGGCTGGTTTCACAAAATACCCATGTTGGGTCTTCATCCTCTTGAGATTGAGATTTCACTTGCCTAGAATGAAATTTTAAAAAAATCTCTCCAGGTCACTTTCATGTGAAGTTAGTGGGGGCTGAGAATCTCTTCATTAGGGTGGGATTGGCAGGAACAGCACACGAGGTAATAGTCTTACCATGTCTCAAAATGACTGCAAACAAAATCAAACAAAAACACTCTTCCCCATCCCATTCCTGAACGACAAGATTGTATAGGATGGGCCCATAAATACATAAATAGATGAAAAAATAAATAAATAAATAAATAAATAAGGCAGAAACCAAGCACTGCTTCCAAAATACATTTTGGCAGACTTTCTCAATCACGCATAATTGGAGGGGAGGGGATTCATTTCTTAGCCAAGTGTTTGTTTTTCGCATGACAGAGGGGGTCTTGCTCATAAGACAGAATTTTTCTCTGCTCTGTGCGAACAATAAATAATTCAATAATTATTAATATGCCCAATGGTTCCCAGAGGAAGTATGTTATAATAGCAGCTCATCTGTGATGACGTTAATATATATAGATAGCAACATAAGACATCCTGGTGGAAATAACCAGGAGTCATAGCTTATTAACGTCCTCTGAGAATTTGCTTCAGAGGAATGTTCTCCTTTAATGACCTGGAGTGCCTTATTAAAGGCAAATCTCAGCTTCCCCTGCTCAGAGGGCTTCAGTACACCCAAATCAGCCATTGGCCTGGAGCCTAGGAAACGGCTTCCTGTCATTCAGGAAAACCCAGGGGAAACAGCCCTCTTCATTTGGCAAACACCTGGGTTCTGATGCAAACCACAGGATTTCAGCATGTTGTTGAGTCTCTTGTCATTTTAGGGACTTTGTCTGCTGATAGGCGTTGTGTGGTAAAAAGAAAGGCAAGAGGGCGAGTTCATATCCCTAAATATCTGAAAAAAAAAGAGGGAAATAGGTATCTTAAGTTGGTGGAGAGGAAAAAATGTTCCCAATTTCAGATGTAGGTAAAAACAGATTTTTTTAAAAAATTGGCCTGAAGTATCTGAGAGCATTGTGTATGTAAAAATAAATCCATTCAGACTGCAGCATTTGAAAATGGATAGTTCTTGCCTGATCCTGGCGCTCTCTCTCTCTCTCTCTCTCTTTTAATGAGAAGGTCTCTCTCTCTCTCTCTCTCTCTCTCTCTTTTAATGAGAAGGGTTGGAGTGGAGTTTTAATCAACTTAATGAGGGGTTAAGAAACTCCAAAAGAATAAGTTACATTTCCGTAATAATAAGAATCATGACCCTACATGAGTTCCTGAAGGGATGAGAACCTTGTTCTGGCACCTTCTAGCTGTGAGGATGTGCGGAGCCTTGGCTTCCCCATCCGTAAGACTGCGATGACCACGTGCCTCCATGGGAGCTCTCTGTGATGACCCCGGGGACACACGTGTATGAACTTGGACATGGGAGCCCACGTTCCCTCCATTCCCTTACATTCCCTGTACCTCATGACAATGTCAGATCCCTCCTTTTCCAGGGACACTGAAGCAATGACATTCCTCAGAATCCCTTGACTGTCCCAGATGCTCAGGATTTTTAACCAGGTTCTCCAGGTGATTCTCAGACACATCGAAGTTAGAGAACCATGGTTTTAAGGACTTCCATTTCATCCACACCCAGCCCCAACCCTTGACTCATTAGTCATAACAATAGCCACTAAATATAGTACAGACCTTTAAACAGCTTGTGCCTGCCATCACCTGACATCCTTCCAGCTCTTTGTTTGGTAGGAGAAGGAAGAAATCCAACTTCCCTCTTATAGTTTAGTCAATCATTAGCCAGTCCCCCCGCACCCCTCAAAAGGACCTTTAAAAATCCAAGAACTTATAAAAGGACAGTGGATTTACCTATTACTCAAAATCAAATTTTAAACATCTTTGGGTCTAAAACCTATAAAGTTTGTCCTGCAGGCCAGACAGCTGTCTCATTAATGTAGAAGGAAGCTGTCATATTGCTTTTTGTTACTGAAGCTCTCACTTGGCATAAGTAATAAGCAAAGCTGAGTTCCATAGCCAGGAGAGACAATCTGATTTGGCTACAGGATGTGATGGGCAATTACTACCAAGTATCTGGGGTATTTAGCAGTATTTAGCTGGTAAGGAGGGCCTCTCCTTGAATTTTAATCAGTCTTTTCCCAAAGTTTATTTTTTTATGAAGCCTTTAAAACTAATTCCCAGAATCTGTGGTTCCCTACCCCCCAAACCTTATGCCTCCACCTGAGAAGATTAAAAGGAAAATCAATGGATTATTCCTTGAATGAGTCCATTCTTCTTTAACAAAGAATCACTTCACCAGAGCCTTGGACAAATCTTGATGCCTATAGGGTGGTGGTATTTGCAAATTTTTGCTAATCGTCCTCCTCTAACACAACTGTGCCAATGGCTAAAAACTTTTAACAAAAACAAACATAGTGATGATGAACTGAACATTCCAGTCCCCTTCCCACCTCCCTCACCACCAACCCCCATAGTGCTTTTTGTCATATCCATGCCCAGGGGAAGAATTCACATTTTTTTTTTTATGGTAAGTCCTCTGAAACTCTCTCCAGCATTTTTTCAAGCTACCACCTTCGATATTAAGGTAACTCCTCTAAGATTCGAATATCATAAAAGGGAACAAAGTTTTTAGCCTGTGGTCATTTGATTCACAGTTAAGTTTTAGCTTATCAGGTCTCAAAACATTAAAGCAAGGATTGGTGAAACCTGTTCATTCAAGATGACCAAAATCTCTAGTCGGACAACATAAGATGCTTCCATAACAGTCACAAAGTTTTTAGCCTGTGGTCATTTGATTCACAGTTAAGTTTTAGCTTATCAGGTCTCAAAACATTAAAGCAAGGATTGGTGACACCTGTTCATTCAAGATGACCAAAATCTCTAGTCGGACAACATAAGATGCTTCCATAACAGTTTTAAACTTTTCAAAGCCCAAAACCAATTTTACCTTCTGCATTATATGCTTTTCACAAACCAATTTACAGTGCCTGTCTGCAGGATTCCGGTGCATAGCACTATTCTCTGCTCTCCAATGCCCCGTACTTCCTGTTCCAACCCTAGAAAGGTATACAGCAAAACTACTGAGGAGGAGCCACAAATGGACAGGAGTCTTGGGCAGCTCAGACAGAATGAAGTGTGGCCACATACACTCCTGTGCACTAAGTGACCAGCCCTGGCCTCCTGTATGTGGTCTGGTGGCCTCATGAGCATCCTACTCCCTATGTTGTTGACACTCTTCTTCCTACTTTCCAAGCCCTGTCAAGCAACCTGAGCAGCACTTGAACTCAGCATGAACTCACTCCCCTGTTGGTTGTATCACGTTGCCATTCTGTTGGGTATTAGAGTCTTACCAGTCCCTTAGCCTCCTAATTGAACTCTCTTCCTACCAAATAGGAAGGAGAGAAAATTTCTGGTTGAAGGGGCTGCATATCTCGTACATAGGTGGGTCCACAGCTTATGTTCTCCATGGCACAAAAGAAAGGAATAAGAGAATAAGGCCTGTCATTGGCAGAGCAGAAATTAAGACTGGCACAGCTAATCACTATTAGCTGCATGGCTTTGGGCAAGTTACTCACCCTCTCTTAGACTTGGTTTTCACATATACTATAGGTACTCTTTCCTCATGGAAGTAAAACATAATTCATGTTTGATTCTGTGCAGTATCCTTGCATACTGTACACAAATGTACCCATTATTTGTTATGCATTAAATTATTAGATAATTGGTATTCTAAATGCTTTATATTAGATGGAAATATTTGGTGGATTATTATATAGCCTGGGGACATTTTGTTTTTCCATTTAAAATAATGGGATTGGATTTCTACTATCAAAAATTTGTTATTCTACACATTTTCCAGAACCAATTAGATTATACACTAAGAAATCCCTGAATACAAAAGATGCTTAGCACAGTGCTGAGCACATGGCTGCCAATAAATGGTAACTAACACTACCAAAAGTTGGTTCCAGGAGGTTATTTCATACAAATAATAGCTTTATTGCACTTTTGTTTCAACCGATTTAACTCTTTGGGTCTTGGTGTCAGCTCTGCCAACAGCTACCAATGCACAGACATTTTTTTTGTGAGATACTTGAGGAACAGAAAAGGCTGACATGGTTTCAAAGGTGGAGTGCAATGTCCACATTAAGAGTTGGTCTTGTTGGGAACCCTAGAGCCCCTCTGTTTGCTGAGTTGTTAGCCCCCTGCAGTTGACCTGGGGAGAGACTGGAGTCAGTGTGGCTTCGTGAAGAACATGATTATGCTTTGCTTTGAAGACAGATAGTGTTTGTTCCTACTTTACTCTGATGGTATGTGACAGATATTACCCATTGGGTCACACAGCACACATGGAATTAGAACACCCAAAACTTGCACCTCAGAGAAGATTAGAGTAAAAGATATTGTAGTAAATTGTCCCCACAGTGGGACAAATCCCTCTGGAACACGGGACAGGCATTTCTCAACACCTTCACTCCGAGGCTGTTGTTACTGTGTAATAGGCTGCTCAGATCCTGTGAGACTTCTCAGTAGCTCCCCAACTGTCTCTGAAGAAAGGCAGCTTCTCTCTTGTTGAGAGATCTTCTTATCCACAATTCCTGTGCATCTACCTGTGGTTTGGGAAACAAATGAGGCATAACAGTGTGGGGGAAGAAAGGCTTTTCTTCTGCCTTGTTAGATTTTTGTGGCTGGGGTCTGTGAATTCAACTGACAAAAGACAGATTAATAGGAGAAAAAGCATAAACAGTGTGGGGGAAGAAAGGCTTTTCTTCTGCCTTGTTAGATTTTGTGGCTGGGGTCTGTGAATTCAACTGACAAAAGACAGATTAATAGGAGAAAAAGCATACCAACTTTATTTGATGTTAACATTTTCATGTGACATGGGGGGGGGCTTCATAAGAAAGAAGTAAAAACACCAAAGAAGTGGTTAGTTCAGGGCTTATATATCACTTGAACAAAGATCAATAAATTGTGAAGATGTAACAAGAAGAAAGAAAGAGCAGTTTGGGCTAGGGGTGGTAAATTATGGGAAAGTGACTAGGAAATACATGGGGGATAGTAATGGATGATTAGTGTGGTTTTAGTACAGTTTGTTTGTATGGATACATGTTGGCATCAACTCCTCATTTTCAGGGGTAAGAATGTTCTCTTTCTGGTACAGGGAGGAAACCTTTCCCATAGGAATTTTATGCCTTGCAGAGAGCCCCTCCTACACCTGCTATTTCTCAATTGCCCTCAGCTCAAAATAATCATTATGCTGAAGTGGCATATTTCGGGGTGGTATGTTCTGATCCCCATCAACAGAAACATTTTTAGCAATTCTCTCAGGTAGGATAGAAGAGGGGCAGATGGCATTCATTTATTGAATTTTTACACCTCTTCAGTACCAGGTATTGTGCCGTATGCTAGAGACAGGACTGTGCCCAAAGCAGACAAAATCTGGTCTTCATGGACCATTTGTTCTCATAGGGGAGAGAGAAAATAAACAAGCAAATAAAGTAATTGTAGAATACTAGTGCTATGAAGAAAAATTTTCAAATGGTTTGTTCTAGGGCTGCATTGTCCAACAGAGTAGCCATTAGTCACATGTAACTGTTGGGCATTTGAAATGTGGCTTGTCCAAACCAAGATGTGTTGGTAAGTGTGAAATACACACCAGATTTCAAAGACTTAGTCCAACAAAAAGAACATGAAATATCTCATTAATAACTTTTTAAAATTGTGATTACATGTTGAAATGACTGTATCTTGAATATAGAAGGTTAAACAAACTATTAAAATTAATTTCACCTGTTTCTTTTTACTTTTTAAAATGCGGCTATTAGAAAATTTAAAATGACATATGAGGGTACTTCAAATAGTTCATAGAAAGATTTGTATTATCTTTCAATTCTATTTTTCCACGAACTTTTTACAGTACCCTCGTATGTGGCTCACATTTGTGGCTTGCATTACATTTCTATTGGACAGTGCTGTTCCAGAGAACACGGGAGGGGGTCTTTGGGAAGGCATCCCTGAGAAGGTGATACTTTAAGCTGACACCTAAGAAATGAGGGGAACAAGGAGACCTGAAAGATGGTGGGAAAGAGCTTGGTGGAACTGACAGAAAATCACAGGCAGAAGTTTAGTGAGAAGGTGGAGAGGGGCTAAGATAAGGTATGGTAGATGGGAGCCAGACCTAGGGGAAAGCTCCAAGGAGTTTGAGTTTTATTCTACATACAATGGGGCATCACTTTGTAAGCCAAAGAGTCAGATGATTTCACCCAAGGCAGCAAATTAACAACTTGTGGCAATTGTAGTTGGAGACACAGGGACCACTCTTAGCAAAAGAGGACTTCCTAGGAGGGCATCATGGTTACATAAAAGTCCAACCATGACTCTCTTATCTGAACTTGGCTATTGGGCCTGCCTGCTTTTCCCTTCTATTCACAAAATAATAAGCGGTGGGGACCCTGTGGTCATTAGTGTTCTGGGACTATTTTCTAAGTTTATTTTTGTTTTTTTCCCCCCTACAGTGCTTTGAACCAGATGCACTGTTACTAATAGCTGGAGGAAATACTGAAGATCAGCTTAGGGAGGACGTGGTCCAGAGAGTTTCTCTTCTCCTGCTCTATTATATTATTCATCAGGAAGAGATCTGTTCCTCAAAGTTCAACATGAGCAATAAAGAGTATACATTTTACCTACACAGCCTATTGAGCCTCAGGCAGGATGAAGACGCCTATTTCCTCTCACAGAATGAGACAGAAGACATCCTGGCTTTCACCAGGAGGTACTTTCACACTTCTGCAAGTCAGGTAAGAAGTGCAAAATTGCTAACTCGCTCTGCTACTAAGATACAGTCTCCGAGTCTTATTTTTTGTGCCTCATTTATTCATAAGACATTCAAAGACTCCTAACGTAGATAAGTATTGGGGGTTTTTAGTTATGGGATGTTAAGAGGCATAATTTAAAATTCTGAGTCCAGAAGTGGAAATGTAAAAGACCGATTGGAAAATAATTTTAGCCAGAAGTTGGTGGGGTGGGTGGACAGGCAGGCCAGGTGACAGGACAGCCCTCTCCTCCTGAGTCCCTCTGAGCACTCAGGTAAGTGAGATCAAGGCTTTTTGATCAGTCTCCAGGGATTGAACTGTAGTGGTGGAAGGTGATCTGTCTATTGGCTTTGCCTTCTGACCAGGAAGGAGAAGGCAGAAACAGTTTGAGAAAGATGAATTTATCATTAGTTATTTCACTGAAGAAGCAGTTTGCAAAAAGCATTATTCACGACAGTCAGCGCTAGGCAATATCCCTTTCATGGTTTTTGATTTGTGCTGCATGTGTCCAGGATCTGTTCAAATGCTTCTTTCTCATCTCTCTCAGATCGTACCATTCCAGCAAAAGCTGGCCTTGCAACTACATTTTTGCTTTCTGGTTTGCAGTATGAAGTTTCACCCGATAAAGTTCTCTGAACATAAAAGGTTTTTTAAGGACACATTTTCTTGAAGAATTAACTCGGAAGCCACTATCACATTTTGAGGAGCCTGGTGAAAGCTTTATTTTTTCTATTAAGTTATTCATTCACAAGTATAGACCATTTTGTTTTTTTATCTCAATTCTCGCTTCTAGGAGCCCAAAGGAATCTGTGCAAATCATGCCATAGCTTAATAAGCAGCAAACATATCCTCCAATTTGCTGTAAATACGTATAATCTCTCATTATTGGCAGAATAAATGGAAAGGCTGTTTGCTGAGGACTTCGTGAACATTACTTCAGTAGCTCTAATCCTTTGAACCTCAAAATTTGGCCATATTTTTGGTCTTATTTTCATTTTAGAAAAAAAGAGTTCCTTTACAGAATTCAGTTTTCTGCTTAAATAAGGAGGTGTGCCTACATATAATCAATTTCTTCAGTGCAGCATCTATATAATACAAGATTGATTCAAATTAGCCACTAAGATTTTAGTCATCCTACTTGTTTCTGCCTTTTGATGCAGATTCAGTAGAAATGGAAACCAAGCACTTAAAAGCAGATGGTGTGTATATATCAGGTTGCTAAATATCCTACACATACATAAATGCCTGGGCTTCTGAGTGTTGTGACATAAAACATTCTTAGAACAGAATGACATAATTCAATATTATGTGTAGAACTACTTTATCCATCTATTCAGTCATTGAGTTGATAACTCCTAAGTCATAACCCTTTGCTAGGCCTTAGACTGATGATCTCCAGGGTGATACCAGTATTTCTAGCTCCTGGGAAGGGTCCGAGCCACATTTTCTTGAAGAATTAACTTGGAAGCCACTATCACATTTTGAGGAGCCTGGTGAAAACTTTATTTTTTCTATTAAATTATTCATTGACAAGTATACACCATTTTGGTTTTTGATCTCAATTCTGGCTTCTAGGAGCCCAAAGGAATCTGTGCAAATCATGCCATAGCTTAATAAGCAGCAAACATATCCTCCAATTTGCTGTAAATACGTATAATCTCTCATTATTGGCAGAATAAATGGAAAGGCTGTTTGCTGAGGACTTCGTGAACATTACTTCAGTAGCTCTAATCCTTTGAACCTCAAAATTTGGCCATATTTTTGGTCTTATTTTCATTTTAGAAAAAAAGAGTTCCTTTACAGAATTCAGTTTTCTGCTTAAATAAGGAGGTGTGCCTACATATAATCAATTTCTTCAGTGCAGCATCTATATAATACAAGATTGATTCAAATTAGCCACTAAGATTTTAGTCATCCTACTTGTTTCTGCCTTTTGATGCAGATTCAGTAGAAATGGAAACCAAGCACTTAAAAGCAGATGGTGTGTATATATCAGGTTGCTAAATATCCTACACATACATAAATGCCTGGGCTTCTGAGTGTTGTGACATAAAACATTCTTAGAACAGAATGACATAATTCAATATTATGTGTAGAACTACTTTATCCATCTATTCAGTCATTGAGTTGATAACTCCTAAGTCATAACCCTTTGCTAGGCCTTAGACTGATGATCTCCAGGGTGATACCAGTATTTCTAGCTCCTGGGAAGGGTCCGTGAGCCCATTCACCTGGCTGGTGTTCCCTAGAAAGTCAATCAATCCAGATGTTGCAGGAAGCTGTGGCACCCTGCTGCAGACTGCTGCTCTTTCTAAGATGGTATGAGGTTCCAGGAGATTCTGGAACACCAGGCCCACTGCTACTAGCATTTCCAGGTCTTGGTCTGCACAGGACTCAGCTTACAAAGATCAAGGCATTAATGGCTGCTCCAGGGGGGCCCCAATGAGCTCCCCAAGAGAAACAACTTTACACCATAGTAACTTAATTCATCCAACTTCCCTACTGGCCCAGAATGTAAACATCATTCCATTCCTTCACTGTCTTTTGTCCAGGCTACTCTGTATTCTGTCTTCTTGACTCAACCTCCTAATACTCCCACCTCTTCAGTTCTTTCTACTCTTTGCTGTTTCCACGGAAAATGGGCAGGGATCTGCCCACAGTTCTCCACTAGCTCTGCCTTCTGCATGGAGGTTGGGCATTCTTGACCACACCCTAAAGACTTCAGGGGTGGAAATGGCAATTGGAATTCTCCTTTACCCTCAGTGCTACTTTGAGACCATGATTCTTTCACAACCTCCATGAAAAATGGACACTCTTTGAGGTTCATGCTTTCTGTTGTTTCAACTTTTTTTTTTCATCCATGGAACTTCTGGCTACTTCTGCAAGTCTATCAAAATTTTGGTAACTCACTCTCAGCCTTCCACTCTGCTTCCCACTGCAGCTATGAATATGTGTGTGCCAAGCTCATCAATTACAGACCTGAACAAAAATAAATCCAATGGACACTTTTCATTCATTGTCCTATGCCTCAAGAATGCAACGTTGATACAGTAATCTTCCCGTGATTCCTCTTTGGATGAACTTACTTTCTCCTCCACTTCATACATAACGGGCTTAGCGCCTGGCACATAGTAGGTACTCAATAAATGTTTAAATAAATGAATGAGAATACCAGTAGGATGCAGGCAAGATCCTAGCCTTTCAGAGGTTCATAATTTAATTGATAAAAATTGACATGCACATATGAAAAAGATCCTATGTCATATGTCCTATATCCTCTGGGGAGTTCAAAGAACACAGACGCTATGCTAGCTGTGATTTGCAATGGCTCACTTTGAGCTTCAGTCTAAAGCAGATGTAAAAGTGGAGGTGCCCTGTGATGACACCAGACAGCAGAGCCAGTGTGAAGTTAAGGTAGAGAATGCAGATTTGAAAATCATTAGTCTGTTGGGTGTACTTGAAGATGGGAGAGAAACAATTCAATTGAAAGGACGTAAACAATAAAAGCAGGAAATCCTCTTGGGGAAAACAAATCTTTATGAAGGTACTGAGAAAGGTTGGATAACCAAGGACCAATGGAGTGGGGGTTAGAAAATTCAGTGTCACAGCAGATAAAAGAAACAAGTATTTTCCAAATAGAGTTGTACCTGAGATTAGAACATGGTGGTGGTCATATTCCCACAATTTAATCTTCTTTAGATAAAGAACTATTCCTTGTCTTCTGGGGGACTCCTAGGATGTTTTCATTAAAATAACATCAGAAGTTAAAATTATAAAACAAAAACAAAAGTTAAAATTTTCTCTCTATTATCTGATGTCAGTGTATGGAAACCAAAATGCTGCAGAAAATATCTGGAATACTGAGCAGTGATGGTGCTGATGAAAATACACTTCCTCAGTTGGCGGCAACAATCATTGCTTTGTCTCTCCAAGGTGTTTGTCTGGGACAAAGAAACTTGCCTTCCCCCAACTATTTTACAGACTATATTTTCAGTTCCTTGAATAGGACAAATACTCTCCACTTATCAGGTAAGGATGTTTTTATGAGTTTAACCTCTAAGTCATACCTACTAAATTAACTGTGCCAAAACCAAAGGCTGAATCTTTTTGAAGACTACATTGTGTTTTAAATACTATTTTATCTCTGCACATAGTAGGGCTCCACATGTGATGTCTATGTGGTGATGAGGGCAAAACATGGACTTGGCTTATTTCTGCAGAGACTGAAATTCTGGATGGAGAGCCAAAGGGAGAGATTTTTATGATCTTCCACGAGTACTAACTGAACACTTTCTTATCTCAGTACATACTGCTGGGCCAGGAGAAGCAAAGTGTTGTGTAGAATGATGAAACAGTATTCTAAATGGTGCAAGAGGTTTGGTAGCATTTTGCTCAGAATTGCAAAAACAACTCATTTCATTTTAAACCGAAGTGATATGAAATATTTGTCCATATAAATTCCTAACTACCAGCTTTTGGGGGCTCTGAGATGCAATGGGATGTCAGGAATGGAATCAGAATGTTTGTTTTGCACATTTTGCTGTACTGTACCCAGACATTGAGAGTGAAACAACTTATTTTTCAAATCTGCATCAAAATGCCCTGAGAGGGATTTTTTTTTAAAGTGTCTCATTACCAATATTACAACTAAATAATTAATAATAATTTTAATATTATAAAATATTTAGTTATTGCTTATATTTTCATGGTTATAAAAAATATTTTTATTTCTTGTTGAATCAGGATCCAAATAAGGTTCCATAACATGAAAATTGTTGGCATGTCTCTTAAGTTCTTTTATAGGTGTCTAGACGTGGAAGCAATCATTTCTCCAAATATTTTTTATTTTTGTGTAATTAAATTCATCGAACTTTTCTTTTATTCCTTTTGGATTTTTGAGTTAAAGTTAAGAAAATTTCTCACAGTCCCAGGATATAGAAGTCATTTATGTTTTCTTGTAGTACTTGCATGTTTTCATTCTGATCCATTTAGGATTAATTCTAGTATATGCCGTACGGAATGGACCCTGCTTATTTTTTATGTACCTCTTATTTAAAATGCATCTTTCCTCCTCTGCTTTGAGTTACTGTTTTTATGTAACATTTCATAAATGTTTTCCTTGTACCTCTTATTTAAAATGCATCTTTCCTCCTCTGCTTTGAGTTGCTGTTTTTATGTAATACCTTAAATTTATAAATGCAGTAAGTATATTTCTGGATTTATTACTCTGTTCTATTGGCTAGCTTGTCTCTTTATGTGCCAGTACCACACTGTTTTACTTATCATGGCTTTATAGTGTATTTTAATGTTTGGTAGAGCTAGTCTTCTTCATTGTTCTTTTTTTTCAGGATGTTCCTGGCTTGTTTATTCTTCCTAATAAACATCATCAAACTCAAGCTCTGGAAAAAAATCCTATGATAATTGCATTGTGATCACAAAATTAAAAGTATAAAATAACTTAAGGAGAAATGACATTTATAAGATGTTACATCTTTATATCCAAAAACATAGTATGCCCTTCCATTTGCTCATGTCTATGTGTGTGTTTTTGTGAAGCGTTTCACTATCTTCTTCACATAAGTTTTTAGACATTTCCTGTTACATTTATACCTAGGCATTTAACTTTCTTTTTGGCTATCTTACATGAGGTGTTACAGTTCATTACATCTTCTAATTGGTCTTTGTATACATGAAAGTTATTAATTTGTATAGATTAATTTTATAACCTGCTCCATGATTACATTATTTTTACTTATGCATTGACTTTTTAGGGTTTTCAGATATATAATCATATCATCTCCCAGTAGAGATAGTTTTGCCTTTTCCTTTCCAATTCTTATGTTTCTATGTGCTTTCCTGCCTAACTGCATTGATTAATAATTCCAATATAATGTTAAATAGTAGTGGGATGATCTGCATCTTTACCATGTTTCTGACTTTGAAAGACAAGCCCACAGTGTTTTCTGATCAAGTTTAGAGAACAAATGACAAAAATACATTTATAGAGTCTTATATATTAATCCACACATTTACATTTCCAGTAATTTTCATTTTTTCTGGTGAACTCAACTTAAATAAAAACTTACCCAAAGTAATGGTAAATTTGAGTCATTCTTTTCAGCCTAAGAACTTCATTTAGTATTTCTTATAAGGGAAGTCTGCTTGTAACAAATTCTCTCACTCTTTGTTTATCTGGGAATGTTTTTTTCATCCTCATTTTTGAAGGACTGTTTTGTGAAAAATAAAATTCTTGATTGACAGTTTTTTCTTTTAGTTCTTTGGCTACATCATTCCACCACATTCTGGCTTCCATTGTTCAGATGGGAAGTCAGTCATTTATTGTATTGATACTATCCTGTAGGTAAGGAGTCATTTTCTCTTGCTGCTTTCAAGATTTTATCTTTGTTTTTGACTTTCAGTGGCTTAACTCTAATGTATCTAGGTATGGATATTTTTGTATTTTTCCTACTTGTTGTTTGATGAATTTCTTGAACATGTAGATTAAGATTTCACATTAAATTTGAAATATTTTTAGCTGTTACTTTCTCTAATTTTTTTTCTGCTTCTTTTTCTTTCTCCTCTCTTTTTGTGACTGCCATTACATATATGTTGGTATACTTGCCATTGTTCCATCAGTCTCCGAAATTTCTTCTTCTGTTTTTAACCTTTTTTGTTTATTCTTTATATTGGATTATTTCTACTAATCTATCTTTATGTTCAGTGATTTGTTTTTCTTTCCTTTTCATGTATGGTGTTGAGCTCCTCTAGTGAATTTTTGTTTCAGTGTATTCTTCAACTCAGAATTTCCATTTGAACTTTTATATAATTTTGATTTCCTTATTGAAAATCACTATTTGTTGATTTATTGTTGTCATACTTTCTTTTAATTCTTTAAATATGATTTCCTTTAGTTTCTTGAACATACTTATAACAGCTGCTTTGAAGTCTTCATCTACTAAATTCAACACCCAAGAATATGCAGAGATGTATTTATTGATTTCTCCCTCTGACTATGGGTCACACTTTTCCATTTCTCTGCAAGCCTTGTAATTTTTGTTAAAGATTGCTCATTTAAAATAAAATATTGTGGCAACTCTATTTTGTAATTTTTCCTACCACTGACCGTAACATTAAGTAAAATGCCAAAGATATTTTATTCATAAATAAGATGAATAAATCCACAGAAATTCATAATTATATTTAATAGGTTTTTGTATCAGTCATTTTTTAAAATCCTAGAACTGTCCTCAGGAACCTAAACTGCAATCTATAGACTGACAATAATACCAAAGTAGCATCAGAAAACAAGACCTCGTTTGTCTCTGCAATCTCTGCTCCCTTCCATTGCTTTCTGTTTTTTGCATACACACTTAAGAGGAAAACAATTTCATTGATTTAACTACATTAAAGTAATAGTTAATCTAGGAAGAATCTATAGTGCCTCAGGAAATAAATTTCCTAAGAATTAGGTCAGTTTCATCTTTCATTTACAGTTTTGTGGAAAAGAAATATACTCAGCTCAATGGAAGCCATTTCCACTGGTGAAATTGCCCATTTCACATCATTTGGGGGCGGGGGGATAGAAATGGTGGGAATACCTTTGTAAGACTGAGTTCAGCCCCAAAGTTTAATGACATTCTTGTGAGAAAATCAATATCCACATGAAGTATAAATGATCTTTAGCTTTATTCAGGATAAAACCTTGGCTTTTCATTAGAACTAAAATTAGCTTGTAAAATGTCTGTGTTGTGGCCATGTGAATATGTGATTACTTTGAACTTGATCTGTCTATTCTATGTGATGCCAGATTTTATATGAAATTTCTAGATCTAGACCAACTCCTCAACACTCTCTGGACCAAAAGTACCTGTATAGAAAACGATAGAATCCATCAACTTCAAAGGAAACAAAACATAACAATTCATGACTGGGGCTATCTTAATCTCTCTGTAGCCGTGGACAAACAATCAGATGATGGTTCAATTTCCTGGGATCAGGTATTTCCATTATTACTCTTATACCATCATTTGCTATTGTAACAGGAAGCCTAGTTGTGAATGTTCTATCAGAGTTGTAGAAAACTTAAAGAATGATATGTATTTTCTTAAAAGTAAAAATATTCTATTTCCACAGTGTGGTCATACTATTCTTTTTCTACAAGGGGATCTCTGTGGACATAAAATCAATACCAAGAGATTTAGCAGAGTGACATATATTGCTCCTTCCTCCCTTAGGTCCACATTGAATGCATGAATAATTAATTCAGAAAACAGATATTGAACATTTACTATGTGCCAGTCACCATTCTGGGATTCAGGGATATAGTTTTGAACAAAAAGGCACAGCTACTAAGGAGCTTACAGGATAGTAGGAGAATAGATATTACATAAATAATCAGAATGATGAATGAACACTTTAAATTTAGGTTAGATTGGGAAGAGATTACTTTGAGCTGTTAACAACAGGAAAATATTCATGTAGTAGGTGGCACGGAGAAGGTTTTTGAGAAAAGGTGATATGCGATCCTATAAACACATACATATCTGTATTTCCTAAAGTTGAGTTCCAAAGTACCTTCACTGGTCTACCTTAATGCTTCTTGAAAAATGGTGCTATGGTCAAAGTAGTTAGGGAAATACTGAAGATGCATATTTCAATATAGCATGTTAAGGTGTCTGAAGAGGTCATTAGTAAACAAATTTTTTTAATCTTAGCAAACCCAGCATTTCTCAAACTTTGACCATAGAATCTTCCCTGTCCTAATTATTTAAAATCCTGGGAAATTAACATTCCATGATAAAGGCTTATATTTATTGAATACTTGCTATGCTTGTATTACATCATTTAATTATTACAACCACTGTATGAGGTTAGTTTGTATTATTCCGTCCTACAGATGAGGTCATTGAGGCATGGAGCTAATTAGTAACTGCTTAAGTTCACAGAAACTGAGAATACATACATAGTTGTCTGACAGCTTCCAGAGATGTCTGATGAAATCGACACAAGTGTAAACACAGAATGAAGTTTTATGTAAAGGAGTAAAGATGTTTTAAAGATTATTGGCTAGATAATCTAAATTTTTATTTTATTTTCTTCTTTATTAAAAAACTTGGTGTTCAGAATTTCATAAAATATAATGATCACCTTTAAAAATACTTGTGTTGGTGATTTCAGAAGAGATTTAACACAACAATGATCTAAATTGCACAGGAGCAGCGAACATGATCAAGGGCACAGAAGATTATAATAGAATCATCTTACTCTATGAGAAGGTATTCTAAAGCTAGAAACTATGCGATTCTTGACAACGAACTGGGGGAAGATGGACAGCATTCTGCTCTTGTAGGTCTCCTCACTATTTTACTTACCAGTCAGGCATTTTCCAACAGGCATATATATTACAAAGGCTTCATCATCAGTAGTTTGTTGTTATTTTCCCTTTATTCTTGCCAGCATTTTTAATGATGAAATATTTGCATTCTATCAACAACAAATAGTGCAAAAGAGAATACTGTCTTTGGCATACATCATTTTGATAAAGGGGAAAAACCCACGAGTTTAGCTTTCTCTTGATGCATTTTGTGGCAGAAACCTTTTGGAGTTTTTGCCCAATTCCCTTCTGAGAAATGCCTTCCCCACCCACAGGGATTAGGCTGGCAGGCATGTTTGATTAGCATGATCTTTCCTCTTACTAAGTCGGAAAAATCGATGGAACCAGATGGATGCCTGACCCAAGAGAAACTTTCTGTGGTTCTCCTGAACCAATGAGATCTCTCTCAGGACTTGCAAACTCAACCCAGTCTTGGGTTCTTGGACTGAAAGGTCACTTTAGAGTTGGGGCTTATATGGCCATGTGTTTAACAAATGAGAGTAGCCAAATGGTGAAAGGAAATAGACATATGTAGAGGGAAACAGAAAGAAGAAAATACATTAGAGGACCAGAGAGACAGAGCAATTTCAGCTCTGGTTTTCCAGCTTCAAGTTGCAGTTACTTATGAAGTGTGGCTATCCTTTCAATCCTTTTCAATTCCTGGGTTCTATGAGATCTTCTGTGCCCTTCCAGTATAGTTTCCTCTTAGTTTTCTGGTTTGAGTAGGCTTTGTTCCATGCAACCAAACATTTCCTGATCAAGATAAAACATTTTTATCATTGGAATCATCCCAAAAGATTTGTGTGTGTGTGTGTGTGTGTGTGTGTGTGTGTGTGTGTGTGTGTGTGTGTGTGTGTGTGTGTGTGTGTGTGTGTGTGTGTGTGTGTGTGTGTGTGTGTGTATGTGTGTAGGGGGGAAGGGAGAACCACAGCAATTGTGTCATTATTATATTTTGATTAGCAATGTGCCTTTGTTAAAAATCCCTACATTCTACAACATGACAAATCAGATGTAAATCATTAATTTAAAAAAACCCAAAAAACCTTATTGACTGCAACTAAAGATCACAAAGACATGGCATTGAGCTCTTATTTCCGTAGAAGACATCCATTTGTGCTAGTGAAACCATATGCCATTCTCATTTACATATAAAAACTTTTATATTGCAGTCTTTGATGCAGAAAATACCAGCCCTAACTTCTGAGATACACAAATACATTGTGGCAATTTTTAGAGACCCATTGCATTTGTTGTTTATTTATAATTCTTATCTCTTATAAATATACCTGTATAACATTTTTAAAATTACAAAATTTATGTAAAAATCAGTAAAGCCAAAGGAAATAACAGTGATTTCAACTGTTTCTGTGGAGAAGGGATATGAAGTGACAGGGGTAGCCATATCAGTTAGTGTTTACACACCAGCTAGTTGACACATATTCACTTTTTTTTTTTTCCTTTTTGTCTTTTTTACTGACCGGTAATGGGATTGCAACCCTCGGTGTCGCGCCCGCACCGCGCTCAGCCAGTGAGCGGCAACCGGTCTCCACATGGGATCTGAACCCTCAGCGGGAGCACCGCCACGCTCTCAAGCGGCGCACTCTCCAGTGCACCACTGGGCCGGCCCAACACATATTCACTTTTAAAAATTGTAACTATATTTTATTACTTTTGAAGATACATGTTGCCTACAGAGGCTTATTAAATCAGAGAGCATTAAGGACAATGACCCCATTAGCACAGAGCTTATCACATGAAGTCTTAGCTTTGTTCATGCAAAGCTATCTCCATTGAAAAACAACAAAAGCACCAAGGCTTCCCTTAGGCTGGCGTTTAGAACACCATTCAACAGATTGTGAAACACAGTATGTCCTTTCAGGAAAGAAGTGTGCAAGACTCATACAAAATACTCAGAATGAACGCGATCAGAGATTTCAATAATCCTTTAAAATTAACATAAGGTTAATTAACAAAAGATTGTGGGGAAACGTGTAGTAATGGCTTCATGCGATCACTCTGTCCATTTCATCTAGTTCTGTCCCTCACTGGTAGCAATTGATGGTGAATTTGGTTCAGTGGTGAGGTTAGTAACATTGTATGTTTTCCCCATATAGACTTGCTTCTCTGCTAGCCAGCTGGTGGAGATATTTCTACAGAACAGCCTTTCGCCCATTTCTAAGGAGGACTTTAAGCAGATGAGTCCAGGGATCATCCAGCAACTACTCAGCTGCTCTTGCCAGCTGCCCAGGGACCAACAAACAAAGCTGCCACCCACTACTTTGGAGAGTAAGTTCTGGCTCTTCACTTAGAAAATGAACACAGGATACTTACTACATGCCACACACTGTTCTAAGCATTTCACATTTATCAACTCGTTTAATCTCTACAAGAACACTACTAGCTAGGTATTATCATCCTCATTTTACAAATGAGGAAACTAAGGCACAGAGAGATTAAATGATTTGCCCAAGGACACAGCTGGTAAGTGATGGAGCTGGGATTCAAACTCAGGCAAGCTAGTCCTAAAGTCCTTGTTTCTAGCCGCTATGCTATAATACTTCTCAATGAATACTTTATATTTTGTATATAAATTTTAGAAATTGATTTTGTCCCCTATCTTTGACTCAATCATAGACCAACTTCAAAGTCCATAGTTGAGAAGAGGCATGGTATAAAGGAAGCAACATTAGCATTATAATCAGAAATGCAGAGCTGAGTCCTCCCTTCTATTCCCAGCCACTCTGTGATCTTAAGCAATCCCTTTACTTCCCTGGGCCCATTTCTTTTCCTGCACAATAGAATGCAGTTCTATCCTCCAGGGATTCCCAACCTTTCTCCCATTTGGCCATATAAAAAATGAAGGCACACTGGGGATAAACCAAAGCACTTTGGGCTGCTCTGGGATGGAGGTGACCAGTCCGAGGAAGTTCCCCCACCGAAAAAATATGGTGACCTAAGAATATCCATAAAGTATAGTCAAAATGTGACAGTAAACACATGCAACCCTTAAGGCATGACCATTGACCTGAGGGCCTTATATATATATATTTTTTCAGAGCTGCCCTTCCTTCTCTTTGAGATAGCCTGCAATGCCCGTAATAGCCAAATTGTTCAAATGCTCACCTCTAACTCACGGTGGATTCTGCAAGATCAAGTGGCTCATTTGAAGATTTTATGTGAACAAAAACGTGCTAGGCTTAAATATCTAAGACTCCATTTTCACTGAGGGGAAAGAGTTTCATTAAAAGTGAGCAGCTAAATAATTCAGCACTTGGTGGTCTGTAATGCTCACAAATGGATGTGGACAGAACAATGGCACCTCTGAGCTTCCGTGGGCGTGTTTATATTCCCACCACAAGACATGGTGCTGAATACATGCAGGTTACTTGTAAAAGGGTTTTTGAACTTAAGATCTATGGGAAAAAAAAAAAAAAACTTTTATCCCCTTTCTAATGAACTTTTAGACCATTCTAGGGAATGGTCTTCCTGAGAAAAACCCCACTCACTAAAGAACCTAGAAAAACATTACTGTCTTTAATTTAAAACGCCACATCACATAATTAAAGGGAGGGGTTTGTATTGGCCTTTTGAAATTACAAAAATGTAAGGTGTTGCATTAAAGAGGGAAGGAAATGGGAAGACATTATGAAGGAAATATTGTTCAGTCTACTGAAACTTGACCGCTAAGGGGCATCACCTTCAAGTGAGTTTCCAGGAAAGATTATTATGGCCATGCATAAATCAGGTTTCAGAGTTTCAGACCTATTCAAAGTAGCTGCTTAGAAGTGGCTAGGAATTTAGTGGGTAGGTCGAGTTCTATCTTAATGATGAGAAACATTTAGATAGAATCTGTCTGTATGTTGCCTGGCACCAATCAAGACACCGTGGCATCTATGTAGGGACTTGGGATAAATCAGCAGTCTTAAGATTACAAAAATCAGAGATTTTATAGTTTTCAGGCTGTTCTTTCTGCATAACAGCAGGTGAAATCTGACTCACAGAGGATCTAAAAAAATTTATAAGCTCTAAAGTTATAAAACATCCATTTTCCTCAAATAACACACTGTAGCTGCCCACAGGGCAAAGGGCAGAGGAACAGAAAAAGAACTGAAGAACTTGAAACTTCACCTTTTGCCTGGGAAATGCCATATTCTAATCTGTCCTTGTGAGTTCTTGACATTTTATGATCTTTTGTAGCTACCAGAAAAAGTGTGACAACTTTGAATTTTTTTTTTGAACATCCAGATATCCGTGTTAAAATTCAAGTATCTTTCATTTATGTATTAGATGAGAAGAGTAACATTCCCACATAGAGTCTGTTTGGGGGAGGAATGAGATATAAAACTTGGCTGAAGATCTTTAGGATGTTTTTACAACATGGGAATTTCTACTAAGTTAGATCAAAATAAAACCTCTATGCAGGTATATGACCGTTCTAAATAGTTTTTAAATTTTTACAATTTTTAAAAAATTTAAATTATGGTAAAATATATGTAAAGTAAAATTTACCATCTTTACCAGTTATATTTGTACAGTTCAGGAGTGTTAAGAATATTCACATTGTTCTGCAACAGATCTTTAGAACTTTTTATCTTGCAAAATGCACACACTATATCGATTGAAGAATTACTCTCCATTTCCCCTCATTCTAAACCATTTAATAGAGATTTTATGGCAGTGAGGGGTGGCAGTGGAGGTGGAGAAATTTTAAGTCTGAAAAAATTTTTTTTTTGCCTCTTTCGAGTACACTACCAACCCTATTTTAATATTAGATTCCTGAATAATTTAGAACTTATACTTCAACAAAGTTCCTCTTAAAATCACAAGCCTATTACCATGTTGCCAGTTGTATCATTAACATGATCTAATGTAAAGCATGAACATTCCAGAAAAATACAAGGATGGTAAGAATAGACCATTTTCTATTATAACAAACTTTAAGAGGACAGTTTCCTAAGAACTGTAATGGGCTTTAAGCATTATGATAATGGAATTGTTTGATTTAATATATATCTATAGACACTAAAAAAATGATAGTTTAATTTTGTGTTACCTTCCCTCATTGTTACAAATCAGTTTGCCATGATTTGTTAGTAATTTCTAGATAGGTAGGGAAAAAATCATCTGCTCTGAATGTCTGCAATCAAATGAAAACAATGTCATAAATAACTCTTTATCCCCATATCATTTGTACTTAGCTCTGAAAGCCATTTTTTCTCTCTTTTTAATCTTCTCTCTTCCCTTTCCTCCTTTATTTTTTCTCTCTTCATGTATATTTCTTTTTATTTGAATAATCTTAAAAATTGTACTCTTTGAATATTAAAACCCTGGAAGCCTAGAAATAGGAAATGAATATTAAATTATTGCAGTAATCCAAATTGTAGATGTTCAAATTTATATTATCAATCATTACAACATTCATTGATCAGTTTTCACCAATAACATCAATCATTTTAGTCACTGAGAATAATCATCACTTTTAACATTACAAATAATTTTCAGAACTTTTGGAAGGAAGTTTTTCCAAACTATGTACTCATTTTGTACACACAAAGGTCTATAATAAAACCAGACTTTATACCCCCTTTGTAATACTGCTGCCTTTCCTTCTAAAGATTTAAAATGTGATTAGGTGGAAATCATTGCCAGTGACTGTCAGTGGGTGTTGTAGTTTCAAGTGAGAGAAATTAATTGCTTTGGGATGGGAGGTAAGCTAGGTCTTTGCTTGCCACAGTGATTTTTAGTAAGGGGTAGTCAAGGGTAACTTCAAAGCAACAGGGTTATTTGGTTAAAGTCTTGTCTTAGTCCCTGCTGCAACAAAATACCACAAACTCATGGCTAACAAACAACAGAAATTCGTTTCTCACAGTTCTGGAGGCTGGAAGTCCAGGATCAAGATGCCTGCAGATTTGGTGGCTGGTGAAGGCCTGCTTCCTGGTTCATAGATGGTACCTTCTTACTGTGTCCCCACCTGGTGGAAGGGAAAAACTCTGGTCTTTTCAGTTCTTTAAAAGGGCACTAATCCCATTCATGGGAGCAGAGCCATCATGACCTAATCACTTCCCAAAGGCCCCACCTCCTAATACTATCACTTTGGGAGTTGGGTGTCAATGCATGAATTTTGGGGAGACACAGACATTTAGATCATAGCAAATCTGTTCACTCTTTTCCTGAAAAATTAAACCAAAATCTTTTACCCCATAGAACACTTATAAAACAATTCCAAATGTCTGTCAGCTGCCATTGCAAGGCAGAGGCACAAATAGAGGCAAAGAGCACTGACTTTCTGTGATCTCCTTTGACGTAGAATATGGCTACAGCACAGTGGCCGTGACACTTCTCACGCTGGGCTCCATGCTTGGGACTGCACTGGTCCTTTTCCACAGCTGCAAGGAGAACTACAGGCTTATTTTACAGCTGTTTGTGGGCTTGGCCGTGGGGACACTCTCTGGGGATGCTCTGCTGCACCTCATCCCTCAGGTAATCCGCTCTTTTCCATTTCAGATGGAGTGTGTCTAATTTCTCTTTACATGTAACTACTGGAGGTATTTGTGCAAAATTTTGCAGTGACTTCAGCAAGTAAAGACAGTGGCCAGTGTTTTCCTTGGAAAGAAATATTTCCCCAAAGCCTCTCTGCATTTGTAGGACAGAAGAGACAACCAAAGGTTAGGTCCACCACACATTGCTTTTGCGAATATTTCTGAAATAAAAAAGAGAAAAGGTGATCAGATCTAGATTCATTTTAAGAAAGATTCAGGAATCATATGCTATACATACATGATGGAATACTGCTCAGCCATAAAAAGAAAGAATAAAAATCTGCCATTTGCAGCAACATGGATGAGCTTGGAGAAAATTATGTTAAGTGAAATAAGCCAGGCACAGAAAGAGAAATACTGCATGTTCTCACTCATAAGTTGGAGGTGGGAGCTAAGAAAGAAAGAGAGAAAGAGAAGGAGAGAGACAGAGAAGGAAAGAAGTTGGGAGGGAGGGAGGGAGGGAAGGAAGACAGGAAAGACCGCAATACAATATTGAACTTTCAGAAAGGGAGAACAGACCTCTAGTTACTACAGGTGGGAAAGGGGGAGGGGGAAGGGGATAGGGAGTCATTGGGGATAAGGGACACAGAGAGTAATTACCATTTGTAATGATGAACATTCTAATAAATAATATTGATTTGATCATCAAGTTCTGTACACAAATACTGATAGTCAACTCTGCCCCATAAATATATATAATCAAATATAAATAATTTTTTTAGAAAAAAAATTAAAATTAAAAAAATAAAATAATTAAAAAGGAATCATATACTGATTACTTATAAATAAAAAAGAAGGGCTGTGAGACATCATGCTGCTTTTTCTCTGGTTGGTCCCCACCCCATCAGATCCACCCCTGCCCTTCTCTGTTCTCTTCTGTGTCCCAGCAGCTTGTGTCTCCTCACCTTCCTTGAAGGCTGGATTTTTATTTGGGTTCAGCCAAGGGGGACACAACAGAAAACATAGGGTGGAAGCAGAGAGACGCAGGGACATGTCTTCCCTGCACCCTCCTGGCACTGGCATCTGCTCTGCAAGTAGGTGACTGGCTCCAGTGGAGGCCACCTCCACCGCCCACCTCTCCCTGAGCTTCAGTAACATAATTTCCCCCTCTGCCCTTGCAGGCCTCAGGGTGTAATGGTTTCCTGGGGTTATTAGTCTCTGGATACTTCTATCCCCTGTTCATACCCTTGATCCTCTGACACCTCTGTAATAAATAGTGCCATCATTAACGCCTCTTCATTTGAGCCACCAAAACGGATGTCTCTTTCTTGCCTGACTAATTGTGTCTAGGTTTCCCTCAAGAAAAATGTAAGCACCAGGAAGCTGACCTTTGTTGAAGTCTTCTGAAGGTCTTTGTCAAGACAGAAGGCTCTCTGCCTCTCGCAAAGCCTGAGATGTTAAAATTTTCCACAAGCCATTTGCAATTTTCTGCAGGATCGTTGCTTAGAGGCTCGATAATTAGATGTTCTGAAACCCACAAAGTGAGCATTGGAGAAATAAAACAGACCATTATTAGTTTTAATTTCCCTTGTAATCTAATTTTTCTGGAAATATTGCAGGGCTTATTATTGGCTTGAGGAGGTGGCCAAGGCCTTTTTCTAGGTCACTGCAGTGGATGCAGAGTCGTTTTCTGCCTAGGATCCTCAGAAACAATGAAAGGCTTTCTAGGCTGCCTGGGTCTCTCTTCAAGGGGCAGTGGACAGCAAGGGGATGCCAGAAAGGACCTGGGGGGAGTGGAGAATGCTACACATTACAACTTAAAAGATTAGCTTGTTTTCATGAAATTTAGAAGGCAGTTTTTTTGCGTGAGAAAAGAGATGAGGACAAAAGTTATTAAAAAGAGGAAGAAAGGGTGGTAAAAAGCTAGAAAAATCAACAGTTCCTGAACGTGATGCATGGGGAGTTTTCAAAGTTCTGCACAGAAATGAGAAAAGTACCACTGTCATGATTTCCTGTTTTAATTATTGAAATGTATTCAACTTATTCTGAGATTATGAGTTTTTCTTCGGTTTTGTGATACTACAATGTTCTCTATTTTGTGAAATAATAATTACAAGTATTAGATGGGTATACTTTAATGTCCTTACCAAAAGAAAAAGTTGACTGACATACATTGGTTTTTAGTTATATCCATATGCTGAATGTGTATGTTGATACACATGTATACTCACACATATACACGTGAGTACGTATATGTACACACATAAAAGCCTACATGCCTATATGTATGAGCATATATTCATATAATCTGTACACGTATAATTTCTTTTTTCTTCTTTTAATTTAATAGTCAGTAACATCCTAAATCTGGAAACCACTAAGCTGTTTCACAAATTGCCTTCTCTTAGGGAGGGAATATGATATGTTATGATTTATTAGCCCACAAGAAATCATGAGGTCAACCAATGGAATGAATCAACCAATGGGATGAGTCAACTAGAGGAAAATTCCTAATATATTTCTTGTATCATTTTGTGTCCCAGAAAGCTGGTAATATTGGTACGCATACAGCATGCACTCAATGGAGAAAGTCTTCCAGGTGGATTTCTTACTTATCTGAATATTTATTAAAAGTTTAATTGCAGTGGGACATGGGGAGAATAAACCCCAGATAAAATATATACTTATATGTGTTCTGGATAGAAAATAAATTGATATCTTATGAAGCATTGCTATGCAAACATATACGGATTAAACTCCTGAAAAATAATTCAAAGGACTGAGAATGTATGGAAATCTAGGCCACTTGCTGAAATGAAGCTTAGTTTTCATTCTGTTCATTAGCATGTGCTATTCAAACCTCTCCTCTATTTTCTATTGTACATGTTTTATTTGACCCTGATTAAACCATGTGGTGGAAGTATTCACATACCCAAAAAGCAAACTGGGTTTTGAATGATTTCAGTTGTCATGGGATTCCCCAGAAGGAAAGTTGAATATATTCAACACCACCGGGCCTACTATTTAAGTCAACAAAAATTCTTTCTTTCTTTCATTATTTTAAGGTTCTTGGTTTACATAAACAGGAAGCCTCAGAGTTTGGGCATTTCCATGAAAGCAAAGGTCATATTTGGAAACTCTTGGGATTAATCGGAGGCATCCATGGATTTTTCTTGATAGAAAAGTGTTTTATTCTTCTTGTATCACCAAATGACAAGGTATATTTTAAGTATTATTTATCTTTTGCTTCAGTGTTTTATAATAGTCATTGTTTGTTTCAAAAATACTTGTTCAAAAGTAACAACATCTTCATGAAGTTGTCTGTGTAAGAGATGGAGGTCTAATTTTGAGAATCCATAGATCATTCTGACTGGCAGGTCATTATGGCCTAAGTATGGCTATTAATTTTTTTAAACATCTGTTACTGGCCAGTTAATGTACTTGTTAAATAGGGCATTTAAAATGACAAAAACAAAATGTTCAGGAAAGGGATTTGTGGCAAATCTTTTTCAGCTTGAATAATTTCTTTCATTGTGCGTATATTTGATAAACTTCTCCATATCCGATGAATGTAAAAAGCAGTGTGGTTTATTTACGGATTATTTTTCTTTTGCTCTTATACATTTTTATAGAAGAAAAATAGATCACCTATTTTATGGGATAGTTAAAAAAATATT